AGCAGGGGTGGGGGGGGGGAGGTGGAGGGGGGGGAAGGAGGGGGGGCCGAGGAGGCGGACGCCCCCGGCTCGGCCGGCCCGCCCGCCTGTTCGGCTCGGCCAGAAGAGAAGGAGGAGGAGGAGGAGGAGGAGGAGGAGGAGGAGGAGGAGGAGGAGGTGAGAGTTGGGAGGATGTCTCAGGAGAAAGTGGCTTGACGGCCCGAGCTCAGGGAATCTCGGAATCGCTAGCCTGGCTCGGCCACTGGCGAGCTCGGCCTGTGCGAATACTGTGCGTACCTGTGCGGGGCATGTGCGGGACGTGCAAGAATGCCGGGGCCGGCGTTCGTCTCCGGGCGCCGGCGCGTTCGCGTCCGGCCGGTTCCGCGTGAGACGTCGTCGGCAATTTGGAGGCCGACATGCTTTGACATGAGGTGATCTGGCCACCTTCGCCTGAGACGTCCTCGCAACTCTGGTCTCGGAGATGCCCTGCCCCATGGTGGCCCAGCCACTTTCGGGTTTCGAGACGCCCTGAGCTGAGGTGGTTAGACCATTTTCGCCTGAGACATCCTCGCTACTCTGACCTCAGAGATCTCCTGCCCCATGCTGGTCAGGCCACTGTCGCCTGAGACATCCTCGCAAGTCTCGATTCCGATATGCCCCGAGCTGAGGTGGTCAGCCACTGTCGCCTGAGACATCCTCGCAACCCTGATCTCAATGATGCCCTGCTCGATAGTGTCTCGGCCACTTTCGCCTGAGACATCCTCGGAACTCTGGGTTCCGAGACGCCCTGAGCTGAGGTGGTTAAACCATTTTCGCTTTAGACATCCTCGCCCGAGATGCCCTGAGTTGAGGTGATCAGGCCATTTTCGCCTGAGACATCCTCGCAACTCTGACCTCAATGATGCCCTGCTCCATAGTGTCTCGGCCTTTTTCGCCTAAGACCCTCGCAACTCTGAGTTCCGAGATGCCCTGCCCCATGGTGGTCCGGCCACGCTTGCCTGAGACAGTCATGCCACTATCGCCTGCGACATCTCTGCGGCATGTGCGGGCATGTGTGTCCATGCTTTCAGAGTTTTGCTTGACCGTGCATTCGACTGTGCGTCGGACGGTGTGGCATGTGCGCGCATGTGCGGCAATGCTGTTGAGGCTTTTGCATATTTGCATGGACATGTGCATGCGACTGTGCGGCATGTGCCTGCATGTGCGGCCCCTTCCGGACCACAATTTCAAAGTGAGCATTATAGAAGTGAGCGCTATAGAAGTGAGTCCGGTGTACCCCGTTACCATTACCATTACCGTTACCGTTATCATTACCAGTACCATTACCATTCTCTCTGCCATTACCATTAGCATTGCCATTGCCATCAGCCAGTACCATTACCATTGCCAGTACCATTTCCATTCCCAATACCATTACCATTACCATTACCCTTTCCATTACCATTACCATTACCTTTACCTCTACCTTTACCTTTACCCTTATCCTTATCATTCCCATGTCCGTTACCACTACCACTACCATTTCCATTCCCGTTCCCATTCCCATTCACATTCCCGTTCCCGTTCCCATTACCATTACAATTACCATTGCCGTTGCCATTGCCATGGCCATTACCATTGCCATTGCCATTGCCAATCCCATTACCATTACCGTTGCCATTGTCATTGTCATTGCCATTGCCAAACGCTACCCCGCTACCATTACCGTTACCATTACCAGTACCATTACCATTACCACTGTCATTACCATTGCCATTGCCATTGCCATTTGCCACTACCATTACCATTGCCATTACCATTACCATTGCCATTGCCATTACCATTACCATTACCATTACCATTACCGCTGCCATTACCATTACAATTCCCGTCATCATTCCCATTCCCATTCCTTTTCCGATCAGTGCCATTACCATTACCACTACCACTATCATTTCCATTCCCGTTCCCATTCCCACTCCCATTCCCATTACCATTACCTTTTTACCATTAGCATTACCATTGCCATGGCCATTACCATTGCCATTGCCACTGTCATTGCCATTCCCATTGCCATTACCATTGCCATTACCATTACCATTACCGTTGCCATTGCCATTGTCATTGCCATTGCCAGTCGCTACCCCGTTACCACTATCATTACAATTACCATTACCATTACCACTGTCATTACCATTGCCATTGCCATTGCCGTTGCCATTCGAGGATTTCAGTAAGAATCATTCAGTGGAGGGTTTCAGTAGGAATCCACCTGTGGAGGATTTCAGTAGGAATCATTCAGTGGAGGGTTTCGGTAGGAACCCTTCTGTCGAGGATTTCATTGTGAATCCTTCTTGTGGGGGCGTTCAATAGGAATCCTTCTAGGGGGGAGGGCAGATGTGGCCACGTCGCATTCCTTTTTTTTCGCCGCCGATCACCCCCCCCCCCAAAAAAAAACAGCATTTTTTGGGGGGGAACACCAGGAGAACAAAAAAAATGGCAGAAAGGGAGGAGGAGGAGGAGGAGGAGGAGAGGGAGGAGGCGGAGGAGGAGGAGGAGGAGGCGGAGGAGGAGGAGGAGGAGGAGGACGACACAGACCAGATTTTGCACAGAAACAGTCGCGAACTCAGCGCGAAAGCCTCGCGCGCGCGCTTTTGAACCCCTGCGACTCCACAATCCCCTGTTCTCGAGGAGGAGGAGGAGGAGGAGGAGGAGGAGGAGGAGGAGGAGGGGGAGGGGGAGGATGAGGAGGAGGAGGAGGAGGGGGAGGAGGCCCTCACCCCGCCGCCCCATCCCCCCCGCTCGGGGGGGGGGGGGTAGATGTCAGGGGCCACGCGAGGGAGGGCATGGGCTCAGGCCAGAGGAGGAGGCAGCGACCTCGTCCCTCCCCGCCCCAGCAACGCCGCGCGCCCTCTCCCTGTCGGAATTTGGCGTGATGCCTGCGTGGGCGCAGACGCACACCGTGCTCGCACCTGTTGCGGCCGGTCCTTCGGTCACGCTTCCCCCCTTTTGACTTCCGTAGATACGCTAACGGCGATGTAGGCAACGGCGATGTAGGTTTCGGTATTGTGGGAACGTGTGGCGAGCGCTTTCCTACCATTCGCCGTGTCGCTTTCGCTGGATACATGTGCAGATTGGAAATGTAGGAAAGTGTGGATCGTGGGTTCCTACAAGTTGGTTCTCAACATCACCGTTCAGCAACATCGCCGTTAGCGTGGCCTTGTGACTCGCGTCCAGCCCCAATCAGCGGCAACGTTAGGGGGGATAGGCTCAGAGGGGGAACGCATCGACTCTCGATCTCCCGGATCGCCGAGGGGGGGCCGATAGCCCGCCCCGCCAAGGGACGTGCGGATTCGCGAACGGGACCTATCGCCGAGCTATCGGAGCTGCATCGCCGATTCAAACTCGATGTTCCTTCCCCCCCCGAGCTGATCCCGCCCTAACTTTGCCTCCAGCAGGGGTGCACAAGCCTCGTCAGAAGGCGGCGGCGCTTCTCAGTCCCGCCTTCTGAGAGACCCTTCTGAGTCTTTCCTGAAATCTTGGATGGCATTATTTCACACGGGGCGTTTTGCCCCCCTGCTTCGGACCCCAGGACCATGACATATTGATATGGCTGGACAGATGCCTCAGAAACGTGGGGTCCAGGGCTGTGGCCGACTTTAACGGTGTTGCAATTTGTTCGCAACGTCGGATCTCAGGGGTGGGGGGCGGCGGGCCTTCTCGGAGGGCGCCTGCGCTTCTCAGAAGTCCGCCCGCCTGAGCAGCTAGCTCTCTGGGCCTTCTCCAGAGCCGCGGGCGGCTCTTCAGAAGGCGCCAGCGGCTTGTGACCGACCCGCAGGCCTCTCTGCCCTCCCCCCCCCTCCCCCCCAGACGGGCCGCCGAAGGCAGCTTTGGCGACTGCGCGTTCGAGCCCGCAGTGCGGCCCCATCGAGGACGGCGTAGACTATCGAAGACGCCTACAGCGAACCACCGCCGCCCGCTGCCTTCTGTAAGCGCTTATGTGGCCAAACTCTGTGGAGAGATGCTCGGCCACGCTGTCGGACTGTGCGTGTTCCCCCCACCGTTGTAGCAACCCTTCGCGGAACACGTGGTGGAGGAAGAGAAGAGAAGGATCGGGCGTCTGGGGCACTCTTGGGGCCTCCTGGAGGCCTTCCCGAGGCCTCTTGGGGGCCTTTGGGGACTTCTTGGGGGCCTCTTTGGCCGTCTTAGGGTGTTCCTGGCCAGTCTGAAGGGTCGGAAGCCGTCTTGGGGACCTCTCCGGGCCAACTTAAGCCCATCTTGGGGCGCGTCAGGGCCGTCTTAGAGGCCACCTTGAGCGTCTTGGAGGCCTCTTGGGCGCCTTGGACCCTCTTGGGGCCATCTTGGGGGCCTCTTGGGCCGTCATGGGGCCATCTGGGAGGCCTCTCAGGCGCTCTGGGGGGCTATCTTGAAGGGCATCTTGGGCCGTCTCGGGCCGTCAGAAGACCGAGAATAAGTACATTGAAAAATCCTTGACAGAGCTAAGGGCACGTAATCAAGGATTTGTGCCTCTTCGGGCGTTCCTGGGGAACTACTTGGAGGTCTCTTGGGCCGGCCGTCTTGAGGCCATGTTGGGCCGTCTTGGGGCCATTGGGGCCGTCTTTGGGTCGCAGTGGGACCGTCTTGGAGGCCATGTTGGCCGTCTTGGGCAGATCAGTTATGGACGTTCCATTCAGAAATCTAGCAAGCCTTGCACCCATGTGGCAAGCCACAGGGGGCGGCGAATCTACGGGCCGCGGCCCATCCCGCAACCGGGCCTGTCTCGGGGCCCTCTTGGCCCGTTCTGGGGCAATCCCGGTTCCGAGCAGATTGTACGGAAAGCGCCGGACAACAGCTGGAGGCACGCCAGGAGCCCCAGAAAAGTTGAGAATCTGGGGCCAGGGCCCCTTGAGGACTGAGGACCGAGGACCACCAGGGACCTGAGGGCAGTCCAACTCGTGCCTCGCGGCACGGTGGCGGATTTTGTCGACGGGGATTGGAGCGCCCAGCCAAAGCACGCGACGAGCGCGGAGCTCTGCTGCGAGCACTGCCGGCGGGAGCGCCGGTGCCAGTCCTATTCCTACGTCGCGAGCGCCGGGGGCGAGAACGCCAGCAGCAGCGGGTGTTGGCTCAAGGTCGAGGAAGAACAAGCTGCATAAACACGAGGCCTGCCGCACGATCTGGGGCTTCCTCCAGACAAACATGGACACAAGCGCCGTGGACGTATGATTATGCTTGGGCAGCGTTTTGTGCTTCTCGGATTGGTATTGCTTAGGGGGGCCCTCGACTTCCTTGCATGAACTAATAAAAAATGCTGCGGGGCGGGAAACAAACATTCCATAAACATGCGCTTCACGGGCTCCCCGCGGACCTCCGAAAGTTTACGCCTGTGTGCTGGCCGCTCCTTCTCTGCAAGGGCGGCCCGCCCATGCGCAAGGAGATCAAGAAGGGCGTCGTGTCTGGGCAGGTGCTCGCGCACGCGGCCGCGGCGCGTGACGGCGCGGCGCCCAGCGGCTCGCCGAGCGAGCCCGCCGACGGCTCGCCAAGCGGGCCTGCCGCGGCGGCGGCCGCGGAGCCCGCAGGCGCCGCGGCGGCGGCCGCGGGGCCACAGGGTGCCGCGGAGGGCGCGCAGGCCCGAGGGCGCCGCGGCGGGCGTTCGGACGCCTTCGTCTGTCCTTGGCGGCCTTCGGGCCTCGGGGTGGCCTCCAGCAGCTGCGCCTCGCGGAGGGCGCTCCTGGGGTGCCCGGATTGCCCCGAACCGCTGCCACAGGCCCGAGTCATGGCCCGAAAACCAGACGAACGACGAAGGCCAGAGGATGGCGAGCTGAGACAGCGGCAGTTGGCCTTCGGGAGGGGCCCTCGCCGCCACGGCGGGGCGCAGCTCGGGGAGCCGTTGCGTCTGGGCCCCGGGCGGGGCCTGGGGGCCGACTCCGAGCTGCTGGGGTCTCAGCTCGCCCTGCTCTTCGTGCAGGGCCAGTGCCAGCCGGTCGAGCAGGACGTCCACTACGTCGCCGAGGAGGGGTGGAACCACACGCTGAGCGGCATCCCGGACCCGGACCTCTGCTGCATGAAGTGCCATCAGGAGGACCTGTGCCAGGCCTGGACGTGGATAGAGGACGCCGGCCTGGACGGCGACGTCCCGAGCCAGTGCCTCATGCTGGGCATGGCCGTCCAGAAGAAGGAGTACAGGAAGGGCGAGGTGTCGGGAATCCTGCTCGGGCGGGCGATGATGCTGCTGCCCCCAGAGGGCGGCGGCGGCGGCGGCGGCGCCAAGGCCGTCGGCGCCCGCGGAGAGAGCGGCAAGGCAGACGAGCACAGCCCCAACTACAACGGCCACTGCCAGGAGGCCACCCCCTGCATCTCGGGCCAGTTCTTCTGCATGGAGGGGCTGAGCAGGGGGTCCTGCTCGCCACTGAAGGCGGCCAAGTTCTACGACGGCGACCACGGCTGCGAGCTCTTCTGCGGCGTGGGCGGCTCGGCCTCGCCGGGCGAGGGCCCCGAGGCCGCCGCGCTGCCCGTGCGCGGCGGCGGCTCGGCGGCGCTGCTGCAGGCGATCTGTTACACGCCCGTGCCCGTGAAGGAGCCGCTGTTGGCCCCGGGTGCGTCCCTCGACTGGGCCGACTTCGCCACCGCCAACACGTCCGCGCTCTGGTCCCAGCAGGTGCGAGGGGACCTCGCCATCATGCGGGCGCTCGGTGCGAACGTGGTCCGTGTGCGCGGCGCGGATGGAGCGGCGAACCACCGGCCCTTCCTCGACGAAGCGACTGCGCAGGGGCTCGGGGTCATCACGGAGTTCGGCGAGTTCCCCTACGTCCAGCTGAAGTACAGCTGCCTTCGCACCAACATGGACTGCTTCGCGCAGGCCAAGAGCCTGCACGCGGCGCACCTGAACTCCGGGCTTCTGTCGCCCGGAGGCGGGAGTTACCACTCCGCGGTGCACACGGTGGTGCTGATGGTCGATCCAGACACCCGCGTCCAGGCGGTGTTGTCCGAGGGCCCAGGCGGCGCCGACGAGCTCAAGGGCCTCTTCATCAAGGCGATTGTGAGTGCCCTGGACGGCCTGCTGGAGGCCGAGGCGTCCCTGAAAGTGGGGGGCGCGCTGCCGAACGTGACAGTGTCCTTCTCCTTCGCGACCTGCGAGGTCTGCAAGCACCTGGGGGACAAGCCGGCCCTGGGCCAGATGGCCGAGCTGCGGGAGGCGGTGCAGAGGCCAGAGGACTACGGGTACGCGCCGAGGAACGACCTGTGGGCGGCCTACCAGTCCCGGTTCGTCAACAGCGTCAGCACGGACCCCGAAGAAGAACAAAAATGCATGAACAGAAATTTCCTGAGCTCCGTGCGGATTCCTTGGATCGGCGCTGGGCCTCCCGGCGCACTCAGGGAGGGGGGCGCAGCGCGGATCCGAGAGATCCGCGCGAACCTCCGAAAGCTTATGTTGATACCACTGTCTGTGCCTCCAGGACCTCTCAGCGGACGACTTCAGAGAGTACTTCATGGACACCTACGACCAGCACTTCCAGGACACCCCGGTGTTCATCAGCGAGTACCGCGCGAACGGCCTCTTGGCCGACAGCGCGGACGCGCTGAGGCAGATGGTCGACGTGGCCAGGGGGAACGCGAGCATGCTCCTGGGCCTGGCCCTCCCAGAGTTCCAGGCCCGCAAGGACCGTGGCGAGGGCGCGCAGGCCGCCGGCATCTTCGAGCTCGGCGACAAAGCCCTCGCCAAGTTCACCCTCGGGATCAGCACGTACGTCGCGTGGTGCCTCGAGCCCACCTGCGACCCCGAGGCCGGCGTCTGCCTGCCGCGGGCCGTGGCGGACGCGTTCGGCGGCCAGGGCCTCACGGGCTCCGAGGTCGGCGTCTGCCCCCAGACGTCCACCAGCACCACCACCACGCAGACGACCTCGACGGTGACGACCTCCACCAGGACGACCAGCACGTCCACCAAGACGATGACCAGCACGAAGACGACGACCTCCTTCACGACGACCACGAGGACCACGACGACCTCAGAGCCCTCCGGAGAGATGCGCGGGTTCCTGTCCTTCGTCTCGGCGGCCATCACGCAGACGCAGGCCCAGACCGCCGTGAGGGCGTCCCTGGCGCTCTGGTACAACGTCCCCGAGGAGCAGCTCACGACGGTTAAGGTGTTCGAGACCCGGCGGCTGCAGGAGCCGGAAAAGAGAAAGCGGCATGGAAGTCCATTTTCGGAGCTCCCCATCGGACGTCTCGGATCTGCGCTGGGCCCCCCTGGCAGCGCCGCCGGGGCGCGCCAGGGAGGGGGTCCAGCGGCGATTCAAGAAGTCGGCGCGGACCTCCGACGACTTATGTTCCCGCCGCGCCTGTTCCTCCGAGGAGTGGAGCGACGGGCAGGCGCCTGCTCAGCCCAGGCTCCTGGTTGGAAGCTGGATGGTGTCCTATCGGATCCAGCTGCACTACTCCCAGTACGACTACGTCATCAAGGTGGCCACGGCCATCAGCAGCCACGCGAAGCCCTTCGCGCAGACCCTGGTGGACGAGCTGGTGAAGGCAGGCGGCGACGACCACTCCGTGAGGTCCTCGTGCGAGGTGATCAGCTTCACGGACCTCGAGGGCGAGAGGATCACCACCCCGTCGACCAGCACCACCACGGTCACCTCGACCATGCCTTGGAAGGCGCTGGTCGGGTTCCTGACGCTTGTGGTCCCAGACGCCGACAAGGAGCAGGTGGAGAAGGCGGTCCAGTCCTCGCTGGTGATGCGGCTGGACCTGCACCCCGGGGAGTTCTACACCATCTCGGCCTTCGAGTCGGGACGCCGCCTGCTGCGCGAGGGGGTCGCCCCGGAAGCCAGCCTCCGGAGGCTGGTGGGGGTCGGCGTGCCCGGCTCGAGGCTGGGGCCCGTCCGCTGGGAGGTGTCCTACGTGCTGAGGGTGCCGGAGAGGTTCCTGGAGAAGGCGAAAGGCCTTGCGATGGCGCTGAACCACGACTCGGCCACCTTCAAGAGCACGCTGATCTCGCAGCTGGCCGCTGGCGGGCACAGCGAGGAGGCGCTCAGGGCCTCGCTTGAGGTGGTGACCTTTGCGAAGCTTCAGGTGGACAGCACCAAAGGCTGACGAGGGAGCGGCGCCGCCAGGTCTCCCCCAGGGTTTCATCGAAAGCGGCCAGCCCGACCGCAAATGAGCGACAGATAGAAACTTGATCGACTGCGCCAGCAGTCGCGCGTCTGTTCCCCGCAGGGTCTCACGCAAGCGCCCTCTCCTCCATTGCGGTGTGCCACGCTGCCGCTGACGGCCCGCGCACGCCGCGGCGCGAGGTTGCTATCTCTTCTTGCGTAGGGCCCCTTTTTTTGTCGTGGCTCAAGCGGCAAGGGACCTCCTGCACGCGCGTGCGGGACGGCCTGCTGCTCCGCCGCCCGCGCCCCCGCCGGCCGGGGGAGAGACACGGCGGCCCCGCCGCCTCGGGGGCATGGCCGCTTGAGGCGGCGGCTGCTCCGGCTCTTCCTCCCCCGCCTCGGGGGAAGGGCCTCCTGCACGCGCGTGCGGGACGGCATGCTGGTCCACCGCACGCGCCCCCGCTGGCCAGGGCAGAGGACGGGAGAAGGGGAGGGGGACAGGAGGAGAGGATAGGAGGAGGAGGAGGAGGAGGAGGAGGAGGAGGAGGAGGAGGAGGAGGAGGAGGAGGAGGAGGGGGGGAGGAGGGGGAGGAGGGAGAGGAGAGGAGGAGGAGGAAGAGGAGGAAAAGAAGAAGGAAAGGCGATCCGTAACCATTTTGACTCAAGTCCGTAGCATGTCGGCTCAGGACCTGGAAGGTTTTGTCTCCCGAGCAGCAGGCACCGTGGTTGGAGATGTCAGATGCTCTGATCACTGCCGCCAGTATGGTTTTGACCAGTCCGCGCGCGAAAAGCTCGTGGATCTCCGGTGGAGGCAGAAGATGGGCATCGCCAACTTCGCCACAACGCTGCAGCTCGAGAGTGCCCAGTTGGAGATGGACCGCAATCCATAGTTGTTGTCGGATACCCAGGGTACCCTTGCTAATAAAACTGAGAAAAATGCTCGCGATGTTGTTTTATTCCCCCCCCATGAACCGCCAGTTAAGATCCAGCGGTTGGAAGGGGATGTTCGGGATGCCATGGAGGAAGCTCGGTTGGCGGCGGCGGGGAGGGTGGGCCAGGCTGTGCCCGCGCCCGCTGCACCGCCCCAGGGGACAGTCCAGCTCGTCGCGCAGCTCGACCAGGCGCTGGGGCAGGCGCCGCATGGAGCCCTGGGCGCCCTCCAGGCGCCGGTCAAGGCCTTGTTGGCGGCGCTGCGCCCACCACCCGCCCCCGCTGCCCCCGAGCCCGCCGCTGCCGCAGGAGGAGGAGGAGGCGTTGCTGCCGCGCCTGGTGATGTCTTCCCTGGTGCTCATGTCCCTGAAGCGTGTTTCCCAGGCCATGACATGCAGCAGGTCGTCCTGTTGAATCGGGTGATGCTGATATTGGAACGGATGATGAGGAGTGCTGTCTCGATGGTGTTGATGATCAGTGGGTGGATCAGGTCAAGCGTGATGCTACCGATGCTGGCACGACGAGGGCGATATCTGATGCCGCTTGGGCAGGGATGGAACTTGCGTGTGAGGGTGGCTCTGCCCGTCTCGCCTCTCTCCAGCAAGTGCGCGCATCCATGGCCGAGAAGCCCAAATGTGTTCAGCAGGTCTGACGCCGCACTTGTTCAGAAGACGCATCTCGCGGGTCACCTTTGCAGGGAGCCAGACAGCGAACTTGGTCGCTTGAGTTGGAATGCGCCCTCGTCGCCTGCATCAGATGTTGTTACAGGTTCTCAAGGCGATGGGGGACTGATCACGATGGCACCTTGCATACACGGCTTAGCAAGCGTTGGTATTATGCCTAGTGAAGTTGTGGTGCCTGGTCAGATCACGCTCACGTGCCACTCGGGTGTTCTCAGGCATGGCGTATTGCTGGTGGACGCGTGCTTGGTCTCAGGCGACGGCATGGCATGGGGTTTATCAAATACGGTCTTCTGATGTGCGTGGCGAAGCTATTGCGTGGCTTCCAGTTACTATACGTTATTGATGGTGATTTCTAGCGCCCTTCAGAAAAGATCGCGATTCAGATGTTCTGAATTACGTTGATGCTACTATGTGGCACCCTGAGGTAGCCACCCCCCAGAGGACGCAGGCTCGACTTTTCCATCGTATCGAACCGACTACATGTTGCGATTTCGCGCGTGTCTTTCTCGCCTTCATCTGTCCGCTGCACCAGTTAGACCTCAGGTGCAGGGATCAGAGTGAGGCGCCCCAGAAAGGGCCCACGACTGTCTGGAAACCGTTCGCTAGGCAAGCCGAGGTTGAGTTTTGCGACGTGCACGACCCAGGGGAGGAGGCCTTCAAAGTATCAAGGTCGCGAGCGCCCCCCAGTTACTCGACGGGTCTCTGCATTTGCTCCACAGGCCCCGACGGTTTCTCTGGGTGAGACGTGGCGACGACGACTCGGGGCCAGTCTGTTTGTCGCGTTGAAGGCGCACCAGCCGCTCGCTCGGACGCCGGCTGCGCGCGCTCCGCGGCGCTGACTTGACCGAGCTCCTGCGCGCTCTGCTGCGGGAGAAGGCGGCGGTGGAGGTTGGTGTCAACTATTTATGGCATGCCCTCCCGACCTCCAGGACGCCTCGCCGCTGGAAACCCTTGTCCGAGGCAGTCGAGGGGCCGGGCCGCGAGGTGGCTGGCGGGGGCGAGCTCGGGAGGCGGAAGGCTTCGCAGCGGCGGTTTGATGAGCAAGCTACAAGCGGGGCTGGAGTGCTCCATCACACCGTCGATGCCTCGTTGGGTTTCCAGGACAGCAGTGGAGAAGCGCCGCGTGGACCGCGTGAGCGGCAGAAGCAAGCGCATCAGATTCCACGGGAGTGGAATTGATGGCGGAGGGCTGGGAAGTGGCAGCGCGGCCCCGACTGGACATCTGATCTTCGCGAGAGGCCTGATCGGCATGTTCTTTTGCGCGCTCCGCCCGTAGTTGCTTAATAGCAGAGCGACGACGCGCTGGATGCATTTGTCTGACGTGCTCACGGCCGCGGGGGCCGCTGCGGAGTGGCCGTAGTTGACCCTTTAGATCGCCTGGATTTCTATGCGACTGGGAGGCGTTTGGCCTATGGCGCCGACGCGCGTGCTCGCGCGCGGACAGGCCAGGCCCCGTCGCCAGGTTGCTCGCGAGTGAGAGTCTCGGAATGGTCGGTGGTATTTTTGGGGCCTCGAAAGGCAAGTCGTGCGATCGAGCTGTCTGGCAGCAAACGGTCTGGCCCGTGCGCGCCTGCACTACGGCGAGAGGATCTGCCAAGAGAGTCTGGGTCTCAGGCATGATGTCGCTGGACCATCGGAAGGCCCCCTAGCAGGCGTGCCACCATTGGGCTCCTTGAAGCTGCAGTTGCGATCACATTCCCACTTTGGCAGTTGAAGTTATATACTTCGTCGTATCGAACAGAGCGCCATTGTTGTTTGGGCCTGGTAATTTCCGAACCGCCGTGAGTCGAGCAGCCCGCGCTTCCCGGGGGCGGGTGGGCCACGCGCGTGCCCATCCTCATGCTGCAGCGGGCGCTCGACACCGATCATCGCATGCATCGCGCGGTCGCGCCGACCGCCGTCGCGACGACGCGTCGCTGCGCCCTGTGGGCTCTCGGGCACGCGCCGCGAGCGGGTCGCTGCAGGCCGCGGCGGCGCCCCGGCATGCGCCGACGGAGGTCGGCTGAACGCCCGCGTTGACAAGTCGCGCGCGCCGTGCAAGAATCCCGAAGTGCGCGACGATATTGCACGAAAGTTTCAACGGCAAGTCGGTGTTATTTCGGTCAAGCCGGAACGAAATCTAGGTGGGGATTTGACGCGCGCGGTCGTCGGGTTGGGCATGCTGTTCGCAAGGGGCGCATCAGGGGAGATCCGAATAGATTGCGTAGAATGGGATCAATCACAGCTGGGGAGTTCAATCAGGCTGCCACCAAGAAGGTTGCTCGGTCGGGGCTCGAGGCGAGTGCGTCGCATGGCACGGGCGCGACTGGATGTTCGACGTCGAACCTCGAGTCCATGCGCAGCGTTGTCTTTGCCATTCTGTTTGGCGCCACTGCTGGCAGGTCTCGCGGGCGGGGCGCGTTGTCCGGGTTGGGGCGAAAGGAGCTATGTCAGCCGCCCTGCGGGCGCAGGCGTCTAGTCCTTTCAGTGCATGTTGCTCGCGCTCACTCGGATTGACTGGGGCGCCCAGTCTGCTTGTTGTTGGGCGGCGCATGATGGCGGCGCTCTTCGCATCTCGTCCGCATGCCCGCGCGTTGCGAGACGCCGCCTCGCGAAGGGCGCCGCTGCGCGGCAGCGGTGCCAGGTGGCCAGGATGCGGCCCGGTCATCTGGAGCACGGTGCGGTTCGGGCCCCGCTGGTGCAGCCGATGTCAATTGGGCGCCTCCGCTGCGCTTCCAGAAAGGACCTCCCTACCCTTGGATTGGCGCCGAAGCTCGAGGGCATTTGCGTTCTTGCACTGTCAACGGCGAGTGGCCTATGGCCATGGCCAGGAAGTCTCAGGCTTGGCCTGCCACGAATGACGAGCGCGCTGTCCGTCAGCAGCCTGGTACGCTCGTGCATTGACATGTTGAGCGCGCGCTTGCGAATCAAATTCCGTGCCCTGAGGGGTTTGCTTTTTCGTTTCGGGCCCAGAATCGGCACCTGGTCTGGGTTCTGTTGGAGCGGGCCTCGCGGCCCCTGCCTGTTCCCGATTGGGGGCCCCCGCCCAGGACACCGCGGTCCAGCGCGGGCATTCTGGCCTCGGGACTCCGGCGGCCAAGGAAGCCTTCTTGGACGGGTCGGCTTTTGAGAGCCAGTGGGAACACCTGCGCTGCGCGGCGCGGGCTGTTGCCAAGCTGCTGCGGCGCTTCAGGATGAGGACCATCCTGGAGGCATGGCCATGAAGTTTCTGATATTGGTGGGGAAGGGCTTGAGGCCTTGATTTCTTGCAGAGCAATGCTGCGCCGCCCGTCACTGCCGTCGCTGATGCAGATGTTGCGCACCGCGGAGTGACTGAGAGAGGGCCCGACAGTCACCGCTGCCCATGCGCCCGAATGGGTCTGTCGGTGGCGGGCCTTGCGCGAGTGCC